CTTAATTTTCCAGCTGCCCACACTGCCAAAAGCACTAAAACCTGGTTCAATGACTGTGGGATTACTGTGCTTGAACTATCTTGCTTTGCATGTAATGAGTCTTATCTCATATATTAGTTTCACCTTTTAAGTTGCATTACTGAAATAAATGAACTTTTGCATGATATTCTAATTTTTCAAGTTTCACCTGTAAGTACCAGGAGTAGCTAGACCTAGGGCTAAATCTTACACTTAAACACACACATACACATACACACATACAGAGTCAGAAAAAAGCTCTTTCCCTTTTTTGCAATGAGGAAAAAGGAAAGAACTCAAAATCAGATCTAACATAAGACAATTTTTTTCTCATATTATCTGCAACCTCAGTTGTCATGCAGTATTATCACAAAAGCCAAGAGTAAGATTGGCATAATTTACACTGCTTGACCTGCTTGAAAGTTAACTTTTCTGTTCCTTCCTCAGGACTAGAACTGGGGGGTGCTCTACAGTGAGGAATCCTAGTATTTTTTTTATTTTGCGGATGCTTTGAAGACTCACTGCCCGTGGCCCAAGTTCAGAGTGGGTACGGTCGTACCAGTAGTGGCCGGGAGCAGCTGAAAGTGTACCGGTACGGTGGCTCATTTTGCCCACCTGCCCGTGCTCTAAAGCTGTTTTATGGCAAACAACAAATTGCGCATGCACGCACAGCATGTGGTGCCTGCGTGAGCCCCAACAAGCAGCTGCTTGTCGCAGGAGTGGTGGATTGAGCGTGCATGCGCAGCGCACGCCAGGCACATATACAGCACACGTCCGGCACGTGCACAAACAGACTGCGACCAGCGTACCTGTAGCGATGGTAAGAGCAACCCACCATTGCCCCAGTTATCTGGCAGTTTTCTGTTTTGTCCTAGCCAAGACTTCCCTTGCCTTCTTTCATGTAACAACATTAGAACAATTTATTCTATTCAGAGAGTTTCCTCTTTCTCCCAAACTGTAAGAGGCCTAAAACAGATCTCAGAGGTCAGTAATAGAAAATACTATCAGCAGCAGTATTTATAAATACATCTTACATAATGGCTTTATGAAGATTTCAAGGACTTGCCTGCTGGCTAGATAATTTTATAGCCTTTGTAGTTCTAAAGACATGGCTAAAACTCAGCTCAGCTATTAAAACATAGTTTAAGACTGTGCAGTACTTTGGATTTGAGGGGCAAAATGTTATTTTCTCACAATTGAAAGAAACAGTGCCTTCTTCCAGAACTGTGTGACTGTTCTTTGCAACTGTATCTGATCCAAACAAAAGGTGTTTTTGGTTTAGGAACTGTCAATAGATGCTGTGTGCATACCCATGCACTCTCTAAAGAACCTTTTTTCTTTTGAATCAAAAATGTTGCATAGCCTAGTAAAGCAGTGTTTACTTTTTATTGGAGTTACAAACTTTCTTTACTTAAGGAACCCCTGGAATGCCAGGAAGACCCAGCTCTCTATAATTTATAAATATTTATCTAACACTTCTGTGATGACAGATTTTCTTTTTGTAATAGTGGATATCAGATTTAATATTGAATTTGCCCTGTAGGCATGTAGGATTCTACCTAGCTTCATAGTAATTCTAATGTAAGAGTAAACAGAACTAAAACACTTCTTTTAGTTAACTGATATTTGCATGCTTTTTTTCTTTGTCCTTTTTGTTTGTTCATTAGTTGCATTGATGTCATTTACCACAGCCCCTAAAAACTGCTCCAGTTTTGCAACAAAGTGCCTTTCCTGAGATAGCACTTTTATAGCTCCAAAGCTGAAGCAGCTACTTCATATATTTGCACTATATTTGCACTGTGTCCAAGAGGATTTATTTATTTATTTATTCATTTATTTATTTTCACATTTTTTACTGCCCAGCTCCCTCAGAGATGTATGAAGTTGTAGAAAGGTCTCTCATTCTTGGCTGAGATTATGTGATATTTCATTTTGCCTTGCTTTTCTCAAAGCTGTATTCAGAATGAGTACCCAAACAAGCAGTTTAGAAGTTAGGTATACTGCTTTTGAACATACTATTGGAGGATACTTCCACTCACTGTAGGAAAACAGGTGATTGTATTCTTCTACAGCAGGTGGAAGATATTTACCCTGGGCGGAGATGTTTGAATGCTAGGAATGTAGCAATTCCTGCTACTTATGGTAATTTCTTATGGTAATTAAAAGCATTTCCTGCTTTTAATAAGTATACCCTGTGTTCTAGTAAAGACTTGAGAGTTCGTTTGAAACATCTTTTCTCAATCTGGTTGCTTTCAAGTCATGTAAACTCTGTCTTCCAAAATTGCCCAATCAATATTGTAAGTGCTAACCCATGTAATTAATATGGATTTAAGTCTACACCTCTCAAGAATTTCGGGATGGGGGAAGATTGACTTGGAAGAATTATTGCCTGTTTGATATAATGTTTATCTATATATTCGGTGGGGATTTCTCTTACGTAGGAAAATGTATGTATTATTTGCATAAGGCCTACCAATTGAAATTAGTGGGAGGACCAACTCACATTTTATCCATCTGAAAATTAAATCTCTTGCAATAAATTCAGTTTTTAAGAGAAATATTGAACACATGCCAATGATATGGGGCTCCAGGAACTTAAAGTCTGTCCTTGTGTATTAAATGTATTATATGAGCACATATTTTTATGTGAGCATACATTTTATTGGAAGGCTTTTAATCCAGGCGAATACATACTTAAAATTAATGGCTTGTCTTTACCTAGCAATTTCTTTTTTCCAATCAATCTACTCTTAGTGGCTAAAGTTCTGCTATTAGATTCTCCTTTTGTAAAGGGGAAGACACAGGAGGATTAACTGTAAAAAAGAGAAATAACATTCAAAACAGGAGCTGCTCCTTTAACTTTCAAATTTCACTGGGAATAATACCAGATGTCTAATGATAAATGTATCATCTATTCAGTTCTTCAACGGCATATATTTAATTTTTAGGCTTGCCTATTTTAGTTCCTTTTACATTTCTGCTTTGAATTTTGTCTAGCCACCTCATGAATACTATATAATAAAGTATTCTATGGAATAATGTGAGTAAACCTGATGGACTTGTGAGAGTTGGAAACTTCTTGCATGAAGTTTTTAAAACCACATTTTCTAATGTGATTCTTTTTGCAGAAATTAATGGAGTAACAAATTGCAAAAATCCTAAAGGTGTTGAATCTTTTCCTCGTGAAGTATTTTCTAATGGTCTTAAGCCACTTATGGGCCTTATTCAACTAGATGCAATGGGTGGAAAATCTCACAGCTTGGATGAGTCAACAGATGAAGTTCAGTCTATGGATGTGAGGTACATAATAAATTTTCAGAAATGGTATCAGTAATGTAAAGAAGGTATCAATTCATTTTCTGTGCTAGTACTTGTCAGGTCCACATCCTGACCTGCTATTCTGTTGTGGGGGCGGGAGGCTGGCTGCTGGTATTTTTTGCATGTTTTTGTTGTAATTGCTTGGGAATTAGGGAGGGGGATTGTCTTCAGAGACAGAGAGCAGACTCCCTCCCAGCTAGTTCCAGCCTGGATTCAAGGCTGTCATACCATAAGAGTAAACTCTTATCTGCCTAGCACCTCAGTGTTCTCAAAACAACCTTGCAGCATCACATTGACTGCTGGTGGATTGGTCAGGGGGATTGGGTTTGGGGAAATGGAAAAATTGCTTTGTATTTTATGTGGGATTTTTTATATTTCGCCTGACTTTGCTGCAAAAACATTCTCTCAGTAAAAGTTATTTTTATTCAACTCAATGGAGTCAAAAGTCTTGTTTTCGTGAGGGACCAGCTGGGGCAGGTCCTTACAAAAGGAAAATCTGCAAAGTTGGTCAACCCAGAAAGCCACACTGCCCTACTATGGGGCATGTCTGCCCAAGGCAGTGACCAGGAAGAAGCTGAATGCTGTGGGGAAGTATCATCTAGGCCTCACCCCGGGCTGGACATTTCTGAGTGGATGTAGGAGGTCAGGAGTCTGGGAGATTCATTGAGATGCATGTAGTCCATTGGTGTTGGAAAGAAGGAAGATTGGGAAGGAAGAACCAGAGGGGTGACCATCACCCGAGGTGATTGATGGCAGGAAGGGCAACCAGACCTGGAAGAGCTCAAGGGCGAGGAGGGGGAAGGTGAAGAAGGGCACCAGCTGTTCTGACCTAGGCTTCCTGAAACAGTCAAACGCACACAAGTCCAAAAACCCTCTTTTTATTTCAAATTATATTCATTCACAGCCTGTAATGAGTTCCAAATAGTAATAAAGAGTTCTACAGCAAGCTGCCAAAGTCCTTCGGAATAAGGCTGATAAGCACCTACCGTTATCTTCTTTGAAAATGCTGCCAAAGACTTAACTGACAATTAGCTTGGCAAGGCCACACGGAGCAGAGTCCAAATGTATTTTCAGAAGGTAAACTGAAACCAAGTTGCTTCCTGCAAAGGCTCATGGCCTTTGGTTCTCCTTTATGTCCTATGGGAGGAGCCAATCACCTCCAAACCTTATTCCCAAGTTGTCCCTTCTGTTTTAACTGTTCTTGCCTTCTGTGCATGCGCGCAGATGTCCGACTCTGGAGGCTCCTAAGGCAGCATATAATTCCCAGATGGCCCTGGCGCCCTCTCTGCCTCCGATGCAGAGCCCTCGTCCGAGCCTTCCCCAGACTCCAGGACTGGCCCATGTTCCTCCCCAATCTCTTTGCTGTCCGACTCTGCTGCAAGCTCCACAGGCCACTGGCAGACCACAACACCAGTGGGCCTACCGTCCCTGTCCTACTGTCCTGATATGTACTCATGTTATGTGTTCATGGCCATATTATACTTATTTATATCTATCTATTTGTAACAATCTCATGTAAAAATGTTCATGTCTATAGTAATATCTGTTACGTTGTACATGTTGACAAATAAATAAATAAAAATAAATAGAATAGAATCTGGTCATGCCAGCATCCCAATGAAGCTAGCCATATGGTTCATGATGCATGCCTTCCAAGCCCTGAAGGCACACAAGCCACATGCCACCACTGCCACCAGTGAGGCCCAGCAGACCCAAGAGAAGGAAGATGGGGATGAGTGTCAGCGCTAGACACCATGGTAGGAGTTTCAGCAACCACAGCTGCCATAATTGCAGTGCCGAGGAGGGCCGCCAGGGCTGCTGCCCCATCAGGAGCTGGCCAAGTGACAGCAAAGAGCTGGAACACTTCACATAATGGTGTGAAATTGGATGGGAGCTTCCAACAACTGGGGTTCTTTCTGGCCCATTTTCTGATGTACATGCAAGAGTATGGGCCAGAGATACCTACTGAGGGCGCCAAGATGAGAAAATCCTGGCACTGGAAGGGGTTGTAGCCCACAGGATAGTGACACTTCACAATGTGAATGCACTGAACTGAAAAATTTTGATTGCTTCATGACGGCCCTTCATTGGCATTTCAAATACCCCCCAGCTGACCGCAAAGTGAGGGACCATATCAAAACTGCAACAAGGCTGCAGAGTGATGGCAGAGTACATCGAGGAATTCCGTGACCTGGCATGCCAACTCAGTGCCTGTCTGGAGGACTTCCTCATCATCTGTTTCAAAGATGGGCTAAATGACAACCTGTACAAGGGTGTTCAGCAAAAAAGTGTTTGGATGAACAACCACCTCACCCATTGACTAAACAACTCTTCCATAGAGATCTTACCAGGAGCTAAATTGCCTAAGTTGAAGCTATATTCAATTATCTCAAGAGAGTTTAGATGAACTGTGGGTGTTCATTGACAAAAATCTGGCCTGCGGGTTCATTCAACTGGCCTGAGCATCGGTAGCAGCCCCTGTCCTCTTTTGTGAAAAGAAGGATGGGATGCTGCTTCTATGGGTGGATTATAGAGGGTTAAATGCTGTTTCTGTGGAGAACATCTACCCCCCACTGCCCCTGATGAAGGACATGCTAGCCCATTTGGCCAAAGGCAAAATATTCACTAAGCTGGACCTGTGAGCAGCCTATTGTCGTGTGAGAATCAGGGAGGGGGATGAGTGAAAAACTGCATTCAACTGCCTTTTCGGATACTTCCAGTTTAGAGTCCTCCCTTTTGGCTTCCAGGGCACCCTGGCAGTGTTTATGCAGTTGATATATGAAGTTATACAGGAGCACCTATATAAAGGGGTACTGGGGTTCAGGAAATACAGTTATATTGATGGTAACTGATTTATTTTCTAAGTAGGTGCATTTTGTCTCCTGTCAGAAGATTCTCTTAGCAGAGGATTTGGCCAAACTATTTTGCATCATGCCTGCAGGCTACGTGGAGCACCTATCATGTCATTTCAAATAGAGGGGTGTAATTCACCTCTACGTTTTGGAGAGCTTTCCTTTACCTGCTTGGTACTGACCAAGGACTTAGCTCAATTCACCACCCCCAAACTAATGTGGCGTGTGAACTCAGTATTGAAACAGTATCTTAGGTGTTATATCAGTTATCAGCAAGATAACTGATCTGTTGCCTTTTGCTGCAGTAGTGTATAATAATTCTTTTCTGATGAGAGCAACTTTTGCATCTCATTTGGAAACCAAGGACCCAGAGTATGGAGGAAGAATGAAGAGGCCAATCAAGAACAGTAATCCCACGGTCATTGGACCATGTTTTAGTGCTTTCAGCAGAAAAGAGGACTTTGGACCACTGTGCTTCATTAAGACCAGGGTCAACATAGCTGTCTACCAGGAGATTTTGGAACACTGAGCAACAGGACTTTGGACCACTGTGCTTCATTAAGACCAGGGTCAACGCAGCTGTCTACCAGGAGATTTTGGAGCACTTCATGCTTCCTTCCGCAGACGAGCTTTATGGGGATGCTGACTTCATTTTCCAGCTGCCCACACATTGAACCAAAACCTGGTTCAATGTCTGTGGGATTACTGTCCTTGAACTATCTTGCTTTGCATGTAATGAGTCTTATCTCATATATTAGTTTCACGTTTAAGTTGCATTACTGAAATAAATGAACTTTTGCACGATATTCTAACTTAGCTCAATTCACCACCCCCAAACTAATGTGGCATGTGAACTCAGTATTGAAACAGTATCTTAGGTGTTATATCAGTTATCAGCAAGATAACTGGACTGATCTGTTGCCTTTTGCTGAAGTGTATAATAATTCTGTGCACAGAATTAGCTACATTTAGAGTTGCTTCAGGAGAAGACTTTAACACACTGCCTCAATTATTCCAATATTGTCACTAAAAGAGTGGGTCATCCAATTGCAAAATACATGGGCGGTGGTGAGAAAGGCTCTGATGGACGCATGTAAGGCTTACTAGAAGTAGGCCGACAAGAAGCATGAGGAACCCAAACCATTCAAAATTGATGATTGAGTTTACCTCTCCACCTGTTACCTCCAGTCTCTACAGCCATCAAAGAAACTAGGACCCAGGTTTTTTGGTCCCTTCCCAATTATGCACATCATCATCCCAGTAACTGTAGAGCTAGACTTGCCCATGTCCCTTCAGTGAGTACATCCTGTGTTTCATTTATTGAAAGCCACTTCTCCCCTTAGACCTAACGTTCCACCAAGCCCTGAGCCACTGATGATTGATGGAGAGCATCATTCTGAAATTCAAGAAAACCTAGATTCCCATAAGCATAGTACTTCAGTACTTAATGGCATGGAAAGATTTCCCATCAGCTCAGAATGAGTGGATTGACCATTGCCATTTTAAAGCCCCTAAACTTTTAAAACACTTCCATAATGAGCATCCTGACAAACAAAAATGACATTTTTCCTGTTTTATGTTTCATCTCTCCCTGTTTGGGTTTTTCTTCGCCATGACTAATGTCGCTGTTCAGGGGCAACATGTCAGGTCCATATCGTATCCTGCCATTCTTTTTTTTAGGGGTGATTGAGAAGGCAGGCTGACTGGCTGCTGGCATTTTTCACATGCTTTTGCTGTACCATTTTTTGGAGTGTAAGACACACCTTTTTTCTCCTCAGTTTTGCCTCCCCTCCCCAAACCCTCAGGAGCACTTTATAAGCTTCCTAAAGGCTATCCATGCCCTTTTTTTGACAAAAAATGGAGCCATTTTTGTGAAAAAACTGAGCGTTTTTGCTCGTTTTTTGCCCCCCTCCAGGAGCACTCTATAAGCCTCTTAAGGGATATTCATGCCCTTTTTTGAAAAAAAAAAAAACTGGAAATGTTTTCGTGAAAAACGGGCCATTTTGGGGAGTGCAAACTTTTTTTTTAATTTGCCTCTTCAAAACCTTGGTGCGTCTTATACTCCAAAAATACGGTAATTGCCTGGGAATTAGGGAAGGGGGATTGTCTTCAGAGACAAAGTAGACTACTTCCCAGCTGTTCCAGCCTGGATTCAAGGCTGTCATGCCCTGAGATTTAACGTATCAGCCTAGCACCTCAATGTTCTCAAAACACGCTTGCAGCATCACATTGGCTGCCGGTGGACTGGTCAGGGGGTTGGGTTTGGGGAAATGGAATAATTGCTTTGTATTTTGCACAGGTTTTTTCAGATTTCGCCTGACTTTACTGCAACCACATTCTTTCAATAAAAGTTATTTGATTCAACTCAATGGAGTCAAGAGTCTTACTTTGCTGAGGGACTAACTGGGGCAGGTCCTTATAGGATTATGCTATGTCAGAGGGTTAGTCACTGCAACCTGGCACTGATTTTTTTTAAGCATTCTTGTTTTAGTGAAAAAGGCTTGGTTAATAAATCCCTGCCTTGTCTTTTGTTCTTTTATTTTCACCATCACCTGAAAATGTTTGATATTCAAAGTATCAAATGTATTTAATGTCAATAAATATAATATATAAATACTATGCATCAGAAGAAAATTCCAATGTGTCATAATGCTTAAGAATTTAGGATAGCAGCTTCTTCAAGGCTTAATATATATTTAATACATATTCTCTTATCCTATTATTCTTCCATTTTGAAATAAGTGAGATGAAATGTTTTTAAACACATGAGTTTTATTATCATACTTATATATGTTAAGATATACAACAATATCTTAATTCTTTCCTTTCTTCGTTTCTACAGTCCTCCTTCAAAAGAAGAACTTATATCTGTCCCTGAATTTTCACCATTGAATGAAATGTTGCCAGAAATTACTTTGGACCAAAATGGATCAAATAATAGGAAGGCTCTTGAAGAACTACTAGATTTTACTGGCCAAGCCACTTACACAAAACTAACAAGTGAAAATATTAGCATAGATGATTGTAATAAAAATTTGATTGATGGATTTAATAGCCCAAGCCAAGAGACAACACTAAGTACCTTGTGTTGACAAATACATCGCTACATAGCAATAAGGTATGGTCCTTTTTTAGAATACAACTATTCAGCTTTCTTTTCCAGTCAAAAATTGTTTGACATAAATCATTTCTTTCTTTAAATGTTACGTAAGTGACTATGTTGTCTTTTGTCTTGCCTATATTTCCTCTAGTTATGTTAACCAGCCACATTGTGTGTCTGTGTGTGTGAAAAAGAAACATTATAAAGGTTTGGTGGTGGCAGAAAAGCAAATAAATTCCATCAAGTCTGTAGAGATTCTCATCCAGGTCATGCTTACGCCAAAGTTGCTTTTTCAGGAGGCAACTGGGCTTTCTTGTTTTTTCTTTGAAATCAATGGTGGGATTTCAATTTTTTACCACCAGTTCTGTGGGCGTGGATTGGTGGTCATGTGACTGGGTGGGCATGGCCAACATGACATCACTCATGTCAAGGAGCGCCTTGCCTGGCCTCTCCTCCTCTCAAAGGCCTCAATGAGATACAATTTCCCTGTCTATTTATTTACTACTACTGAACATCCAAAACATACTACTTAATCCTATGTATATATGCCATATGTGTACATACATATTACATAGTATAGTTGTGTATAGGCAGACAAAAAGATACATTATGTACTGTATATATTGTATGTGTATGTACACACACAGAGGGCGAACTCTTCTAAAACCATATACATTTAACCTCACTGCATTTGGAAAAACACACCCAGAGTCCACTTTCTGCCACACATTTAACTATAACTTCTGTACATTAGAACATTATACACACCTTCAGATTTTCTTCCCTAGCCTACACATGACTGTTAGCGCCAGAAGATATCATGGATTAAAATGTGGTGAAACTCACTTAACAACGCTCTTGCTTAGCAATCAAAATTTTGGGCTCAATTGTGGTCATAAGTCAAGGACTATCTTTGCCTTCCTCTGCATGGCAGCCTTGTCCTAGTAAACTCCTCCTCCTTTCTGGCAATTTTTCTGTCCGTTAGAAGCACCAAAATAATCCAGACAATATAACATTTCCTGCTGGAGCAGGGGGTTGGACTAGATGACCTCTGAGATCCCTTCCAGCTCTAGATTGCTGTGCTGTTTCAAAGCGTCTTCTGAAGCCACATCTAGTGCCAGGGTTTGTGGTCCTTCCTTCCTCTCCTTTTTTTCTCTCTCTCTCCCTCCCTCCCTCCCTCCCTTCATGTATCTATCTGGCCATCCATCTATCCATCCATCCATGCAACTATGTCATTCACTTTCCCCTCCCTCCCTCTTTCTCTCTCTCTCTCTCTTTCCCTGTCTCTCTCTCTCTCCCTTCCTTTCTTCCTTCCCTCTCTCCTTCTAAAGTTAAGAGAGTGAGACCCACCTGAAACAAAAACTCCTTTGGATGAAACCGGTCATTGTCATCTGGTTTATTCAACCCAACACGCACACACACACACACGCACACCCCTGTGATTGTAAGCTGCAAAGTGCAAACTAACAAAACTTTTTTTTTGCGATGCTTGTTTTTCTCAGCCCCAAGCCTGTCCCAATGTTTTTGTCTCCTTCGTCACAGTGGGGGGCTGCAAAGGAGGAAACCTTAGACACGTACTCTATCAAAGAAGATCCTGGGCGCTGTGCTCAATAGGGAAATAAGAATGGCATGGGGGAGAGAACGGCAGGCCAAAAAAAAAAAAAAGAGCAGTTTCCTTCCTTCACACTGGCTTCTCCCTTTCCCCTCCCCATTGAAGAGGATCCTCGGCTTAATAGGGAAATGAGAAAGGGAGCTGCTGGCATGAGGGAAAGGCGAATGGCAGGCAAGCATGGCTGGGGGAGGTAGCTGGGGGAAAGCGAAGGAAGACTCACCAGGCAGAGATCAGCTGGGCTGCATGGTCAAGGCAAGAGAGCATGAAAAGGAGTGAGTGGGAGGGGAGAAGCCAGCCAGTGATGGCATTTGCTGATTCACCGAACTTCACATAAAAGTTACTACTGGTTAGGGAGAACCGGTCAGAACCGGCTGAATACCACCTCTGCTTCTCATCCAAGAAGCTATCAGAGCTGAAGAAGCCTCTTGGATGAGAAACGAAATGTCTTCAAAGAAAAATCAGAAAGTCCAATGGCCTCTTGAAAAAACAACTTTGGGACACTTTTTTTTTAATAAACATTGTTTTTTATTTTTACTAAACAAACAACACACAAAAATGATCATCTTACATTACATCTTGTAGAAAGTGTGTCAATTGGTTACAATTAGCTTT